TGCTTCATGCAGGAATGAGAGCATAATTGATCCTACACTATCTAATAATCCAAGTAGAGTGAACTATATTTCTGAAATTAAAAGTCCTTCTCATCAACCTGAATGTTCCTATTCTAAGGGATCAAAAAGAAATCAAAATTCAGCATTTAATGAAATTAGTAAAAACAAAAAAATTTGTAGAACAAAATCCAAGCATGAAAAAATTGTATCAAACTGCAGCCCAAAAGAAATCATTGATGCTAATTGTCAAAACTCAAATATTAAAAATAGTAGTTGTGTCACTTTAAATAATGATAACTTAGTAATTGCAAATCCAAAAAACTCTCAAAACATAAATGGAGTTTCTCATGTAATGAGTGAGTCTTTAGTCAAAGAAAATAAATGGGTGACAAAAGCATCACACCCTGAATTATCGATAACAGCTGTCTTAAATTTGAAACATCAACAGGGTAATTTTACTGTCAGTGACAAAGACGAAAGCATAGAAAATTGTACTAAAATTATTGATTTAAATAGTGATCAAGATGGTACTGCTTCTCCATCTAGTGATATACAATGGCCTATAAAGATGTCTCATTCTGATCCATATTCTCCGGAATCTAAACCAACGGTCGATAATTCTGAGCAAATGGAAATTGAACCTACAAGCTCTGATACTGAAGGAAACAATAGTCCAAAGACTGAACATTTATTATCTCTAAGAAACTCTGAAGAATTAATTTCAAAATTAGTTTCATCCAGGCGGTCTATCAATGAAAATGAAAACACTCAAATTTATGCTTTGCCTATGGACCAAAAATTGTCTCACGTAGAACATCCTTATGTTGAAAACACTATCAGCTCAAATACACGAGACTTGGAAGTAGTAAATGTATTATCTCCTGTTTCTATTAACTCAACTGATATCCCTATGAATAAGAGTTCATGGGTCCCTGATATATCATTGGTACACGCCCACAATGATCATAATGATATTGACTGTGTTCATTCTCAGTCTACTCTACAACAATTAAATGGTTTATGTAATTCTATTAACATAAATACTAGTCGTATTACTAATCGAAATAGTGAAGTTGAACTTTTGAATAATATGCAATTGGAAGCACCAATTATGTCTAGGCCATGTTCTTATAATCGAATTGAATCAAGAATATTCCCTGAAGATTCATATACAGCAGTTTTATCTCCTGGTGAAAGTTCAGTTTCAAATTCAGCGTATGGTTCTGCGTATGATGTAAATCGAATACCTTTGGCAGTTACTGTCAAACCTATTCCTGTTACTGTTTCTCCAAAAGATACAGTACATGAATTAAATGAATCAAGTAGTAGCATATATCATAATAGTTCCATGAACATGTGTTTTGATGGGCTAAAGCAAAAATCTATCATAGAACAACCTTCTTATAATTTTGCCATGAATAAATCTAGACCAACTGATATAAACATTATTGAACGAAGTTCATTAAGTAATAAAAATAAACATGATGTTGTAGATATGGTTTCAGATGAATTTAGTGATGTTGATTCAATGGATTTACGAATTAACAGTGCTGAACCCAAAGATAATAATTTGTGTATGAATAATTTATCCATGTCTAGTCTAATATCAACTGATTTAAAATCAATTAATACACTTAATAGTTTTGAAAAGTGTGGTAATTGGTCTACCATTAAAAATCCGTCTGACACAACTAACCATCATCAAAAGCAAAAATTAAAAATATATACAGATCCGACAGAAATGATTTCAATGCCAATTAATCTGAATACACAATCTGGAATACCAATTAATTTGAATGAAGCACATGTACAAAAAGTGTTTTTAGGGAATAAAAGTCCTCCGCAAGTATATTATAATCCAATTACTGACTTCCGAGTTTCATCAGATATAGACATGTCAAATCATGGAAGTATTGAAGATCCCAATGTAATTAATTTTAAAAATAGACAGAGAAACTGTGTAAACTTGTGTTCAAATGATAAATATATTCATCCCATGGTACAACCAACGGATAATGATTCAAATGCGAAACAAACATTAATTAATGGCTATGATGGGGTTCTTAATCAAAATACGTCAATTATGAATGATGGACTTATATATAAGTACCCAAGATCTGATAGTAATACGTCTATTAGATACGAAAACTCTCCTCTTAGACTGCACCATAAAAATCCAGAAAGCATATCACCACACAATGGGTTACAGTATTCAAGTTATGACCAGATTGTAGGACCAACTTTGTCAGAAGATCCAAATCAAAAAGAAGAACAGCCAATAATGAATATGACACATTTAATGCTACAGTCGAGTAAAAATTGTAAAGTTCATTACAAATGGCCTTTAAATAAAACTAAATGTCAAACTTCTTCTTCAAATGGAAAACTTTTAGAAGTTTCTCAAAGCCAGGATTATAAAATGAATTCAAATATTTTGTATAAATATTCCGATGATGAGTTAAATAAAAAATTGTCACCAAATGAAATTCTAAACCAAAGCACTGTTTTGTCATTTAACGAAAGAATAAACAACAGCACTTTAATCCAACCAAACCAACAATTTCAAGACTTACCTAATTTCATTGCACCAGACCATATTTCACCTACCATTCAATCTGGATCTGATTCCATTGATGAAAAAACTCAAATTCAATCCCGAGCAGTTCACAGTTTTGAAAGTAATTCAAGAACAGAACCAACTGAACATCAAGAAATGTTTAGAAATATTAAAATACCAAGTCATTGTAAAGAATCAAGCACATCACTAGGAATTGATGGTTTTGAAGCAGCCCACTATTTATTTAACAGTGGCAAGTTATTTTTATGCATGTATCCAAAATGTACCAACAGTCATCATTTCCGTGTTATACCTTCCAATGCAGAAATGTTACGACATGAGTTCACTGTACCGTTTGATGACTTTCGTTTCAATATTCAGTATAAGTATAAACAGTTATTAACTTCGAACCCAAGATCATGGCCTAATATACCTGTATTAGAACAGTTGGCTAAACGTTGCCTATGTGAAATTTGTGGCGATTTTGATTCTAAATTAAACCAAAATCAAGAAATGTTGCATACATATGTTGAAGGAAAAAAGCCAAGTATTGAAGAAGACAATTGTGAAAATGAACAACCAACTAATACTCAAATATCACTGAGTTGGAAAAAACATCTGGCACAACGTTTTACTTCAGCAGAAGATGTTGAAAAACAGTCTATTTCTCAAATGATAGAAGATATGGAAAGACATATAAAACGTTTTAAACATGCTTTCACAATTATTTTTCCATTAAATAAAGATGTGAAAAGTAATTCACAAAATTTACGAAATGCGTGTGAAAGTTATTCAGATGTTAATGATAATAATATATCGTTGAATTCAGAATGTAAAAAAAAACTTGAGATAGGACATAAATGTTTTAGTAAAGATTTAAATCTTCATTCTTATCAATATTTACAAGTACCTAATAAAGTTATACCAAAACATGTGTTGGAAGAATTGTCTAATTCATCATATCATCCACCTAACCAAAATGTATTAGCTACTTCAACTTCACATCAGTCTGATGAACATTTCCCTAATGAAATGAATAGGTATTTTGTAAAAAATTCACTTAGTCCTTCATATCAATCAATGAACCTAAATTTAACTAATCAGTCTTTAAAATATGTTCATGAGAATTTATCTAACACATCACATCAAGTTGCTGCAGAGAATTCACCTAGTACATCACGTCAATCGTCAAATGGAAATTTAACCAGTTCTTCTCATCAAACCATTTTAAGCAATTTTTCTACAACATCACATGGGATCTCTCTGGACTCATGTTCTACTTTGAATGATAGAGGCCTAAAACATAACCAGATGTCTCGTTATTATTCTGATGGACAAATGTATACAGAATTTCCCCACACATATCTTCAAGTTCCTAGTGCTCAGTTTCCAAATTCTTCAACAAATTCATTCTATGGCTCTCCTGTAAATATGCCATCAGATAATTCTGCGCCATTTTGTTCTCCAAGTTTATCAATTAACTCTGTCCCTCATTCASCGTCATCAGATTGCAGTATACCATCTTTGGTTGAAACGGTTGCTACTGCTGTACCTGAGCATGCTTTGTTAGATGATAGTTTAGAAGCAGTAAATGCTGCTCATAACTTAATGATGATCTCAAACCGCCATAGGTACAACAGTACTACTTCAATTACAACTACTAAAACTACAGACACTATGACTGTCTCAAACACTTCAACTACTAACTATAAAACTGTTAAAAATTCTTCAAATATTAAAACAACTGACATTAAGGCTAATAGAATGTCCTTAACTGATACTACAGTTAATAATATTTCTCCAGTTGATAGTTCTACTAATAATATTTCACTCCTGGACTCTAATAAAAATAGTATGTCCACAACTTGCTTTTTAAGTGGAACTATACAACCTTCCATGACTGAACCGGAAGATCAAGAAACAGATATTGTCCACAATAGTCGAAGAAAAAAGAAAAAGAAACATGATAAAAAAAAAGATAAGAAAAAAAAAGGAAAGCGTTGATGATAATTATTAACTTAAATTTTATTTTTCATCTAAGCTTAACATTCCAAGCTTATAAAATTTTAAACAATAGTAAAACAGACTTAAACAGATTATTTAAAAAAAAAATGTTTTTACAACATACTGTGATTTTTATTTACTTTTTAACAAACTGTGATAATTTAAGATTGCTCATTTTCTTTCTTCAYATGTATTAAATTTACATTATAATCATGTTTTGAAACATAATATTAATTCAAATTTTAAAAAATAGATGTTTTTATAAATTAAAATAAGTTTTCTCTACGCTGTTAATTTTGAAAACCCAAGAATAACAATTTTGCATTTATTATCTATATTTTGTTTAAAACAAATTTAT